TGTTCCCCTTGTCATTGCAGACAATGACTCAGAAGAAGTATTTCCTCCCTGGGACCAGGCCTGTGACAGTGTACTTATTGCTGTAGACCTTCTCTGCGGCTGTGAACCATGTGGCAGAACTGACGCCACATTTCAGGACACAATAATCTGTCTGCTAGTTGTCTTCTACCTCTGAGTTACGATTTAGGATCACAGCATTTGGGATTTCTTCAACCAGCTGCACATCAATGGGCGGTCAGGGGAAATCTAAGAATTAATGAGCACATTTAAGTATTGGTTTCTTCTGTTTGGGACCCTCCCTCTGTACTTTTCTGAGGCAAAAAGTTTTCACTTCAGCTCCTCCCTTCCATAGTCCCTGTGTGTCTATGAAAATATTTCTTTCCTTGATTTCTTCTAGCCTGAGCAACCCGAGGACCAATTTTCCCTGTGCATGTAGTTCCCTTCTCATGAAAAAAATAAGTCTATTAGTTTTGAAAAACACTCTCTGAAGAGCAGACAAGTACAAAATACACTGCAAAGGTCCCGAACCCCCAGCAAATAATTACAGTAACAGGAGTCGCTATAAGGAGCAAGTCAGCCTGCCTCCACTTGGCTGTCACAGGCCCACTTGCAATGGAAATGTGTCACCAGACTGCTGAGGGGACAGACACTGTTGTGTTAGTGCTGCTAGGGGGATTCGCCCAATCTAATAATGGCATGAAAAACAAGGCAGCATTTGGTGATGCCTGGAGCAACAACTGCTTCACCATTTCCCTCCACATGGGACAGAGTGACCAAAGCCCTAGAAGTACCTTCCTTACCCCTCAGCACTGAACCACAGTGCTTGGCTCAGCTAACTGGCTCTGAGCTAGTGTGAAGATGGTACTTAGGAAACATAGTGATGAGGTAGGAAAATACTTTCTGACCAGGAAGTCTTTCTCCCCTTGAGTGGAAACGTTCTGGATTACTCCTGTGGCTTTTTTTAGGTAAGGTGTGTGTATGATTGGGATATTTTTTTTTTCTTTCTCCAAGGGAAAACCCAACCTTCCCAACTCCAGTTTTGATGGAGAAATTATGTGAAGTTTCTGTCAGGAGGAGAATACCTCTTGTGAGTACCCAGAGGTGACAGAGATGATCAAGTTTGCTTTATACTGTACCTGCAACTTGCATTTGAATGTCATAAAGGGATTCTCCATAACTGTTCTTGAGGATAATCTGGTACAGGTCAGAAACAAATCGCTTGATGTTGTGAATAAGGGTTGAGAATGGTTCTTGTGCTCCTTATTGCTCGTATGCCTCTTTTTTGCCACATCACTGGTGGTGGTGGTGAGTCCTAGCCATGACAAACATACAGCTATAGCGTTCTGCTTCCTGGCTTGGGAGGCAACAGAAACAAGCTACATCTTTGAGCACAAAAGAGGTATTTGTGTCTACAGGAGCCACTTGTACATGATCAGCCCGATAGAAAAATATTTCAAGGACAACAATCCTAGAAATTTCTTCAAGCTGTAAAGGTTTTGCACTCAGCACAGAGCTGGATTAGCTTGGGAGATGCCACATAAACCTTATACTACAGTTCATTAGTTTGATCATCTTGAAAGCTGAGGGAAAACAGCTGGTGTGAATACAGATAAACTTGTACAGTTTAGACTAAGAGATACATTCTTACACTGGGTCTGATTCTGCAAAGTACTGTAGAGCCTCAGCTCATGCAGTAGTCTAGGCTTAAAAAAAAGGAAAGCACAGAAATTGCCCTTAGCCTCTACAGAAATGAGATCAACATCCGTGCTAATAGAAATTGTACCTCAGAAAGGACAACGCTGGGACACTGAGCATTGTCTTTACAACCCAGTGACTCCCCTAGGACACTCTAGGTTTACTCAAGAATGATTTCACTTCAGTTAGCATTAACTGTAGTTGCATGCTCAAAAAACGCATGGTGCTGTCCCAGCACCAACCACCATGTGGCTCTTCAGCCTCGCAGTCATGTCAAACCTATGAGGTGGATAAAATGAAAACAAAGAGAGACAAATTAAAAATTAAAAGAGTAAAGGATTGTACAGAAAAGTAAAGCAGTTCTTCAAACTGCTGAGTCATGCCTGGAGACGGGAAGAAGAAACCTTCAAACTGTTTCAGCAGAAGGCACTTAGTGTAAGGGTTGCAATGTTGCCAGCTCTTTTCCTAGTATCACCTGGATGTGACTTCTGAGACTTCCTCAGACAAGCCCAATTGTCCTTTTACTGTATAGGAATCAATGCTATGTAATGTGACTTGTGAATCTTTTCTTGCTGGTGTCATTGCTACCGAGGGCAGTCAGCACCATGCTTTGTTACCGGGACTGTTTTAGACATAAAAAACTCTGAATTTCCTAATTAATAATTAAGCAATTGTAAGTACTAACCAATAAAAATTTAAATACTTTGCTACCTCAAGAAGTAAGCTATGGCAGGTCATGATACAGTCATTCTCAAGACAAAACTAGTGTCTTTGAAGCATGACCTCTGATAATATTATTTCAGCTTTAGCACGCTGGCACCTGACTGCTCATCCCACTCAAACCAAGGGCCTGAAAGAATTATAATCCTGTCTCAGCACCATCGTATTTTCAACAAACTCCATTTCAAACATGATGGTTTATTTGCTGTAGCACCTACCCTCCTAACCCATACTCAGACTACAGTATCCATGACAGGAATCAGAGAATCATCCAACAGTGACCTCTGTAATCACACGTGAGATGTGATGTGAAAGGTCAGATGGTGGGAGAAACAACTGCTGTTACACCTGACATACTTACTCAGGGAACAGCTCAGCAAGAAGGATGGCAGATGATTTTAATCTGGCACAAGCACAGGTTGTTCTCTTCTCCATCTTCCCTCAGCACCTCTGAAAACTCAGCAAAAAGCAGCAGATCTGGGATGCTGAATGTTCTTTCATGCAAGATTAATTTGATAACTCTTTATAAAACGTAGTATATAATAAGAAAGTAACTGCTGATAGATGGGAGTTCCAGCTGCATGGATACTGCAGGTCTCACCTGCAGGTGGCATTGCTAGAATTCCTTCCTGTAACTCCACTGCTTCTCCCATACCAGCTTCATTCAAAGATTGGGTTCAGAAGCAGTATTTGTTTCTCCTACAAGCCTTCCACAGTATAAGTAGTACTAGAGATGGGGATCTTGGTGCATTTTGTCCATTTCTTGCTGTCCTCAACTCACATCTCTAGTACGTACCCCAACATCACATCTTCCTGGTCTGGCTCCTGACAGGCTAAGGAAATGCCGGAGTTGGAAAAATCCACCATCTTTGGCAGTCCTGGAGGCACTGTGACAGCAGGAGGGCTGTAACACACTACTCTGCCTGCAGGCCTATGGTTGCATATGTGAATACAGAGCTGTTCCTATTTCAAGATGCCGAACCTGCAAGGTTTTAGGGTAAAAGGAGCCCTAGTAAACACAGCAAATTCTGTTCAAGAAAACAATGCAGTTCCTAACATGGCACATGCTGTAGGACTCTGTTCCAAGGTTGGCCATTTAAGAAAAATCCTCACAACATTTGACACAGGAGCATCTGATTTTAGCGTGGAAAGGGTCTCTTCTATGAGCACTGAACACCACACATTCTCCACATGTGTTTGGGAGAGGTGTCTAGCATTAAAGTTTCACTTCTGTCTCTTCCTAGCTGACTGGTAAGCTCTGCATTACATTTCCTATAACCTGCCTTCTATGGCTTTGAGTTCCTTGTTTAATAAATCCCTCTTACAGTCCTGTGTAAAGTGGCCTGGTGCTATCTGGACTGCTTGGGTTAGTGAATTTGCTTACTGGCTTGCAAGATCCTTGTTAATATCCTTCAAGTTCATTTGCCAAAGATAACAGTAACAGCCAACTAATAGTCATTTTTGAAAATACAGATCTTGCTTTTTGCTCTTTAGTCCACCTTGCAGCAATCTAGTTAGATCTCCATAATATGCAAGAAGAAAAGATAGCATATCAAAAAATATCTGTATGCTTTTAATCAAATGAATAGTGGGTTGTGAATGCAAATCCACGTTCTGCTCTAAAAGTCTCAGCTAAAACATGACACTCCCTCACCCCAAACCAAAAAAGTAAACCAGTACAGCATGCCATGACAAAAACATGATGCTAATTGCTTTCATACAGAACACTCAAATGAGCACATGGGGTCATAAGGAACATGGTGCATATAGACAGCACATATCCTCCTAGGCCTAATGTGAGGTAATCCAAGTCTTCAACTGGGAGATGAATCTTACCTCCAGGCTTTAAACTGGTTTTGTGTGTCTTCTGATGCAAAGGGACTGAATCCCTTTCCCATCTGAATAACTGTTTAACCTCAAGGCTCTTGTCTACTGCATAAAATTCTCTCATTTTTTAGCTATATCAGCTTCCACACTTGGACAGGTGCTTTGTTTGGTTTTCCTACATTATTTGCAGCTACTAAGGCCCACCCCTGTATCTATTACAAGATTCTTGAATTCTAAAAATACTAATACTTTTATTTGAATCCCATATTCAAATAAAAGAATGCAACCAACTTTCATAAATTCTGCAAGTTTTCTCTTCTTTGAAAAGAGGTGATGGGGGACTGATGAAAGAGCATAGCAAGATGTAAGTTTCTTTGTCATATATTAGGGCCTTTGCCATCCTGCATGTGAATATTAAGTACTAAAGGTATCTGCACCTCAGAGCACCTTTATCATGTCAATCTCTGCTGTTTGCATATACTCAATTCCCCCCAGGTAGGAATCTCTTACCACATTCTTGTATTAATAGTTACATATTTTAAATGAATAATATCATACTTCCAGGCATTTATAATTACATTTATCGCCAACAGTATTAAGGCCTTCCTTAATCTTTAGTTAAGGTATAAACACAATATAGTCCACATTGAGCCAGGCTGGATTGCCACAGTCCCTCAGACTTCAGTTGTAAATGCATAGACCTGGTCATGGTGTACGTGTTTAGGAAAGCAAGACATTAAATAGCTAGACAAACATACTGATGACTTCCTTTGCAATAGGAGGTGGAGGGCATGCTGAGAAGTCCAGGGTCTGCACAGTTCACAGCTATCACACACAGCTCATTCTGTATCCTCCAGAAAACCATCCTCTTTGAATGTGGCATCTAGAGACACACATCGCAATTACAAACCTCTCTAATCACCCATAAAAGCATTCCCAGTGGTCATTAATCTTATTATTTTTTAATTGCTCTTGGACTAAGATAAACCAAGAAGAAATTTCAGCTCACAGACTTCTGGAGAACAATACAAATTTCAGGGGTTTAGGAAGCCCCTTAACTAGGTCTAACCTTCACTTCTCCGGTGGCCTGCACCATTTTCGTATCTCTCTCCCCAAGGAAGAGACGGAAATCTGATACATATAATAAGAGGAAAAATGTATAATTTGCTTTCCACTAGATTATGGTCTATAGCCTGGTGTAATCATACATGCTGAGGAAAAACATTTTCATGTCTTGCTCCACTGAGCTCAGTGGGACTTCCCATGATGAAAAAACTCAATAGAGTGGCCAAGACTTCAACCAAGGTTAAACCTTCATTCAACTGAAAAAAAACAAACACAACCAAACCTAAAAAACCCCCTCAGGATAGAAAGGATAAAATCCCCTTGAATAATTTATCTTAAAAAGTGTTTCCATTATTTACCATGAATAATGTTGGTGTCTTAAGGAGGATATTTTTGGATAGTGTGATTGATTGTAATTTAATATTAAATGCCAATGTTTTGAATGAGACAGAGAAAGAATCCAAGAAAGAACCAAAATATTAACAGAAAAGGAAAAGAAAAAGTCTTGCTAGTCAGATGCTGCTGCCGATAGGAACAATCCCTTGTGTTATACAAGCTGTGCTAAGCATGGATCATATGGTTGCTATCTGATGAACTGTGGTGGGTTCACCCTGGCTGAATGCCAGATGCCTACCAAAGCTGCTCTATCATTCCTCCTCCTCAAATGGACAGGGGCTTGTGGGTCAAGATAAGGACAGGGAGAGATCACTCACCAATTACTCTCGTGGGCAAAGCAGACTCGACTTGGAGAAATTGGTTCAATTTCTTACCAGAGTAGGATAATGAGTAATAAAACCAAATCTTAAATACACCTTCTAGCACCCCTCTCTTCTTCCCAGGCTCAGATTTACTCCCAAACTCTCTGTCTGCTCTCCTTCAGCAGTGCAGGAGGACAGGGAATGGTGGTTGTGCTTAGTTCACCACATGTTGTCTCTGCTATTCCTTCCTCCTCAGAGAAGAATCATAGAATCACAGAATTCCTTGGACTCTTCCCCTGCTCCAGCATGGGGTCCCTCCCACAGGAGAGAGTCCTCCACAAACATCTCCAACGTGGGTCCTTCCTACAGGCTACAGTTCTTCATGAACTGCTCCAGTGTGAGTGCCCTCCATGGGGTGCAGTCCTTCAGGAGCAGACTGCTCCAGCGTGGGTCCCCACAGGGTCACAAGTGCTGCCAGCAAAACTGCTCCAGCGCAGGCTCCTCTCTCCATGGGTCCCCATGTCCTGCCAGGAGCCTGCTCCAGTGTCTCAAGCACATCCTCCCCCTCCGTCTTCACTGACCTTGGTGTCTACAGAGTTGCTTCACATATTCTCACTCCTCTCCTCTGGCTGCTCTTGCACAGCAGGTTTTTTCCTCTTCTTAACTATGTTATTCCAGAGGCGCTACCACCGTTGCTGATCAGCTCAGCCTTGGCCAGCAGTGGGTCCCTCTTGGACATAAGGGGAGCTTCTAGCAGCTTCTCACAGAAGCCACCCCTATAGCCTATCCTGCTACCAAAACGTTGCCATGCAAACCTAATACATGGGTACAACAAAATCAGTAACTTGTTTAATTCAGTTCTGGTCTAAGTCAGGGAAAAGCAGTCAAATTTACATAGGAAGAAACGTAAGATACATACGCTTGAAATTAGGCACCCAAATCCATAGATGTGACTTTCACAGCTGCTGAGTGTTTGGCCCGCTCATTGTCACTAATGGGTATCAAGCCATAGCTATTTGAGGGCCGAAAATCTCATTTTGGACAGTGTATGTCAAAATGTGTACCTTGCTGGATGTCAGGATTAAATTTTCCTTGATTAATCAATACTTCACTTCTCATTGAAAGCTTATCTAACTTTCCTTCTGTCTACATAAAACAGATAGTAACCTTGCTCTGACCTTGGACTGGCTCTTTGGTGATGGGGAAACAAAGATTGCTGCCCTTCTTCTTTTTTTTCTATGATGTAACCTTTCACTGGGGAGCCTCCATCCAGGGCTGGGGAGTTCCAGGTGATGGTGACAGATTCTTTCCTGACATCTACAACTTGAGGCTGAGACACCTGTCTCAGAGGCTCTACAAAAAGAAGAAAATCAAATTAGCATAGTACAATCAGAATTCATTAACTCCAAATTGTGACGTGTTATGTGTATCTGTGGAAGTATCTATGTATGTATATATACCAAGAAGTCAAGAAGGGTGACTTGCATGTCTTGGTCTATCCATGGCCACAACATTTTTCTAAACACTGTTTCTTTGCCTTTATCATTTCAAATGCTGAAACATTTTAATTCTTGCAGTTACTCCAAAATTAGCCCTTTCTGCAATGCATTACAGAGCAGTTCAGAAATGCCTTCTCTAATCCATAGGAAGTTTGGACAGAAATGCAATGTTTTAGGTGAAAAATTATATATATTACTTCAAGTCAGTAATTTTAACAGGCCAGACTTGCTTTTGCACTGTATCTTCTGTGCTACATTCTGGCCTTGGGGAAAGGGGACTGCAAATCTCCTTTCACTAGGGATTCCAGTCCAAAAAGGAAAAATAGGAACAAGAGGTACCTGAACTATAACTCCCAGAAGATAGTTCAGCAGCGTTTTCTAACCAAGATAGTTTTTTGTTGACATTTTCTTTTTTGACATGAAACAAAATGTTTCTGAGCATTCTCTTTTAAATTATCTTCTCCCTTCCCCCACAATATTTTCCAGAGAAAGACACTTTTCATTTCTGCTGTACTCTACTAAGCTCACAGAATTGACGCTAAAACAGTGTGTCAGTCAGTCCTCTCTTGTGGCCAGTCCCTGCTGAGGGGGGTCTGAGCGCACAAACACCTGCAAGTGAAAGGACCTGGCTATTTCTATGATCCTGGTTATCAGTCCTTGAAATCTTGTCCCCTGAAGCACAGGGGACAGTGCTCTTTTGGGGACTGGAAAGAAGGAAAAGGGAAAAAACTATGGGAAACAGCACTGTGAAACCCCATTAAAAACCAGCTGGCTAATAGATTCTCCAGAAAAAGTTTCTTCTGTTTTGAGGGGCTCAATGAGGCCCTCAGAGTTGATGGTACGTATTCTGAATACGTACTTTCCCTTCCTTCACCTTTTCCATGGCAAATGTGGTATAGTTGCTCTCCACCACCCCTACTTCGATCCACAATTTTCCCTCCAGCCATCTTCCTCTCCATGATGAAGTGAGTCACCTGCTTTCCTCCGTCGCCTTTGGGCGCTTTCCATCTCATTTCACATTTTCCCCATGTGTTGCAGGAACTCTGCTTTTCCCCATGGGGGTTTTGGTTTGTCTGCAGTGTGAGCAGCTGACCAGAGTGACATGGGGTGAGCTATTATTTAGAAGGTCATATTCTCTGATGGTGAATCATGGTAGATTCACATGGTAAATCAGTGTAGATTACAACCAAACTAAACTGATTTGAATAACTTGATTTGATAACTCAGTCTCTGCACTACTGTAAGATTTCTAAAAAGAAAGTCTGAATTACAGTGTGTGTAACCAAATATATCTACCAGTGATTGGCCTGTTATAAAATGATTAATTTAGGACTTACCAGTGAAGCTGAGGTAAGGGTTGTCAGAAGCCAAGCCACAGTGATTTTTCAAATTCAGAATAATAGCTGCAATGTCTTCTGGTTTTGATTTTAACACAGTCACTGGCTTTCTCCTTCACCACTTGCTCTTCCTCTGTCACCTCAGTCCCATCGTTGAACCATGTGACTTTGGGTATTGGCTTTGCCTTGAAAGGCACCTTGATGCTTGCTGTATGCTAGTCTTCACGGTAAGGCTGTGTGCAGTAAAAGCTTGAGGACAAATTCTTCGATAACAGGAGAATCTGGAAAGAAAAGCAGACATTTGAAATCTGGAGCTGCAAATACAGCCTAACATCTTTCCTGTGTCTGTGAGTTCCTAGAAAAGGTTGTCTAAAGTTGGGCCCTTCATATACAGTAAAAACATGAAGGAGTACGAGTTCTGTATTTCGTGAAACTATTTGGGGACACTCAAAATCTTCAGTATGTTTTGCCTCAATTAATTAAGTTCTGTTTCTTGTACAGGGAGCTGGCTGCCCTCCTTTAGTTGTTCAGCTCAGCAGAGCACGAGGGACCTCTCGGAAACAGCAAGCCCCAAAGCTCCTCACTTCCCTAGTGCCCGGAGTTTTGACTCCAGGCAGTTTCTCAGTTTTGCAAGGCACAAGAAGCAGTCCTTTGTGCTGTTATTCCCTAAGGCCACACTGGGATATATATCTATGCTCATCATAAAGACAGTAGAGTCAAAGTTAAGTAACGCTTGTGAAGAAAATGCTCCCTCATGCATTAGAGTAATACAGGAAAATGCTAAGAACATTCTGCTAACAATAAAGAAAAACAACTAGCTTCCTAAACATAATTCGGATTTTTCCTTTTATTTTTGTTATACAACCTGTATGTTTAGAAATTACAATCTTCTACTGAAAGTCATGAAAGGCATTGAAAAATACCTTTGAATGCAGGAAAATTAACACTCCCTCTATTGAGGCTTTGCTGTGGATGGGTTTTTACTGCAACACAGGTATGATAAATATTCAGTGCTGCAGATACGGCATCCTTACTGCTGTGTTTGTCCCGCTGTCTGGGCAGAGGTATCTATCCACCTTGCCTTTACCGAGCAGACAGAAAGAGGCTTATTTCCATGCTGCAGACGAGTCTGAAAGTCCATCTGGCGCCATCTGGCTGCCAAGAGCTGAGTAATACACATATTTATATATTTCTAGATGTAATTTCAGAAAAGGCGTTTTTCTTGTTGCTCAAGACATTTGAAGCAAAGGCTCGGGCCAAAATTCTTGATCACTGACTTATAAACACAGAAACCTATGCTTAGTCACTTAAAATCAACCAGTACGACTGTTCAGTTTTCTCCCCTTGTGGAACAAAGCAGCAGAAAGAAGAGGTTTTGCTCATGCACATAGATAAGCAAGTAAAATGGTACAGGCCCAGGTAAGGAGACCTGGTGAAGCACTGATTCGGCATGTATTTGTGTACACCTGGTAAAAAGCAGTAAAGGAGATGGGGTGGCTACCTCTAATGACAACTAGCCCCTTGGCTCTGAATGTCTACCTCAATTCACACTCCTCTCCCGTTCTGTCAATGCTGAGTTTGTGAATGGCTCCTTTGCTTGCTATCCAGATCCCTGCTTCACTGCCCAGATGCTTTTCATGTCCATAACGTGACAAGAAGACTGAGGCAGGAATCAAGCCACACGGCAACAAATACCATTTCCAGCCCTGTCCCTGAATTCTCTGATTGGTTTCCTACTCTATAATGACTAAGTGGTCAGGATTTCTAGCTCCTATTCTGGTGAAATGCTCTGTGATCTATGGATAAAACAAATTCAGTGTTAAGTCATCTGTGCACCTGACTAGATGAGCCACATGGCATGTAACGAAGGGTGTGCTTTATCATGCAAAGGACACAGTTACTCATTACTCTGAAAAGCAGAGACTTGGGAGAGGGAGAACGGTGGGTGGTGAGAAGCCAACCTTGTGGGAAAGAATGCGAGTCTATCGGCTAAGAAAAGTGGGTTAGCAAATGTGAACGTGTCTTTACAGGAGACTGGGAAGGAAAATTTTGAAAATGCCAAGATCCAAAGCCAAAACATAGTAAAACTGAGGCTGCAGTAAACTAAGAAAGATTAGATATGTCCTTGTCTGATCTGTCCATCTGTTTGTCCTTAGTCAGAAGCCCTTTATTAACACCAGGCCAAGCCTCACAGTAGCTATTTGGAGAAAACTTCCCACTAGGGTTTTGCAGCCCTACTGATGTTACCATGGGCATGGCATACCCATGGTATCGTCAGGATAGGAATATGACTCAAGGATGATTTGCCATCCTTGAGTCATATTCCTTCCACCTTCCCATCATTTGGGACAACACAGAGCTCGGCAGGATCCTCCAGTTAGAGCATGAACATCACACACAAACTCTTCATGGTTGCAAATGTCTCTAAAGGAAATCCTGGTGGAAGTATGTGAACAGAAACACTGTGCAGGATGATTGTCAGCTGAGCATTTCAAACATCACGGAGGTATATTTAACGGCAGGGAGATCTCCTAACAAAATGGACAGGCCTTCAAAAAAGCAGTTCAGTAAATTAGACATTCGGGGAAGAAAGGGGGATGGAGTGTGTTCACTGGAGGGAATGTAGTGATAGGAACCCAAAAGCTGAAGCAGAGGACAGACTCTTGGCACTACTCCAGACCCGTACCTGGTCCAGAGGAGCTGTCAAACCAGCCAAACACTTCCTCTACTGCCTACATAACATTGGTATCTGAACCTGAACTCTGCATAGGTAAAGATGAATCTATAACTAAGGCACTGGGCTGTAATTCCAGTGTGCACAGGAGTCGCAGGCAGCTCAGCCACAGCTTTCCAGGTTACCTGTGCCACTGAAGTGGTTTCTGTCATCCCAGAGGAGCAGTCAGAGAAGGTTCCTGCTCACACTGTCCCTTCAGTCCACCCTGGCCATGGCCCACAGAGGGCACTCACATACCAGGGCTGGTACCCATCTTCCAGGAGCCAGGGATTCCTTGCCCACCACCACCAGCCACACTTAACCCTGGCCACAGGATCCTCACATCTGGAAAGCCAGGGTTAGGGATGCCACTGGTAAGCCACTCCCTTCTGGCCTGTTCTAGGAAAATGAGAAATACACAGCCAAAATGCAACTAACAGAGTGACCTCCACCCAAGTCTGTACACCAGGACAGAGTTTGCAGGGCATCACCTCTCACAGAAAATGCAGCACTATTAGGAAGAGCCAGCCTCACAGAGACGTCCGTCAGGAGTGGGCATGAGGGCATATTAATCTTCCACGTGACAAAATCTGCTTGACCTCACAGCTGAACCTCTTTTGGCCTTGAAGCTTCCTTCATACTTATAAAAATAATTATGAATATCCAGTTGTTCCTGAAGCTGTGAATGATACACCAGTATCATTTTATCTTCCTTCCATGTAGTTCATTTTAAAATGATCTTAAAATGCTGCACTTCTTACGGAATACAAAAAACTTTCTGGCATAGTCCAAAGCTGGTCCACAACCAACAGAAGTAACTTCAAATACTAACAGCCACTGAAATCCACACCCTAACTTTGAAATTCTTCTCCAGCCTCCAGCACAAAGCTAAGCTTTCCAGCTTTTCTTCCTGATCTTAATAGCCTTATGTCTTTCTGTAAAAATCATGGACTTAAATTTACAGCATAAATAATACTACTGAAAAATTAATTCCCCAAACAAATGTTAAATTAAATATTTACCAGCCTCATGTTGTGCTGCTGGTCCTCAGCAGCCTGCAATCAAACATCCAATTGGTCACTTTAAAGAATAAGATAAGAATTCACTAGGACAACCCTGATTAAAATAAAACACATGGCACACTTTACTAGGCTGGTTTAGGTAACGTGCAAGGACATAAATGAAAGATTTACTGCTTTATGCTTTTACCACTTTATACAGCAAAGGGAAGTCCTTAATTATTACCTTCATGCTACCAAGAGGGGGCGCAGACTAAGGGTTTATACCACGTTAAACAATAGACTACAGGGTAGTGTTATTTCACATCAGTTTCCTAGCTGTTATAGCAAAGCAGCGCTACTTCTTTGCCTGCAGAGTTCACTGAAGAGCAGTCTCTCTACACTGTTCTCCAGTGTCCCACTCTTCCTTTTGAGTCATTCACACTTCCACAGTTACACTGGCACTGCTCATCAGGGTCACTGTCTTGCATAGCCTACGATCTCTGTGCTAATCTCCTGAGCCACACAGCTCATCAGATTTATGGGAAACTCTCCTCTTTTCCCTTCATGCTTCATGGTGTGCTTTGGAGACCTCTCAATCACTCATCCATTCTTCATCCTCTTCAGGCTGACATCTTCAGAAGTCAGCACACACTCCAGACGGGCTTCTCCCTTCTTTTTCGCTTGGGTGTTCTTAAGATCACTGACAAACTGAATTAGAAACCCTGGAAAAGGGCAGGGGTTGGCAAGAAATGACACATACCAGTAAGCACTTCATATATCAAAACAAATGGATTGGCTTTTGCAAGATACAACATGGGCTTCTGTGCCTGAGAGATTCCAGGCTTGGGACTTCCAGTGTGAAAAGGTCTTGATGGTCCTCTGCTTGCTAGTCCACAGACTAGCCTTATGAGACTGTGGCTTTCAGTTTTCTCAGACCAGTCTCTGGGGTTTTGTGTTTTAGCTTTATGGATTTTGCAGCTCAAATCCTGCTATCTTGTGTTTGATCCACCAACTGCCCAAAGATACTTAATCTGCATAACTTATGAAGAGTAG